TCTTTTAAACCCAAAAACTCGTCTGACAAATTGCCCATATCCCGGAGGGAAAATTGAGATAATTTAGAAAATATTGTCGCGTCGCTAGTATTAAGTAAATGAGATATAATATTGCAGTGTTTTTTGGTTGGTAAAGCGTGGCGCGGCTGCTTTCGGGGCCAGGGAACGTGGAACGCAGTAATTAATTGATGAGGAGAGAGCAAGGCGAAAGCAGAGCCGGCGAACAATGTGCCCGAAACAGCTACCTTCTCCCTGTATTAACTCCAAGACCCCATTTGTATGATTTATCACTCTACTATAGCTCTAAATACCGTGTAATTCGCAAATTTAATATATAATGGTTTTGTTATACACCAATCGCACCAAATTCGTGCTTTGCACTTTTACACATTAATTAAAACGGTTTTAGTCACAATAAAATAGCTAACTGTTTTAACCATGAAGAAACCTCACATTAAGTTTTAATTTAAAACTAAATGTGAGGTTCTTTTATAATAAGAACATTTCCGTGGTAGATTCAAGGACCAAAAGAAAGTCTAATGGTGTTAAATCACAGCTTCTTGGTGGCCATTGGGCAGGTGTACTCGAGTTAATCCGGAGCTTTAATTCTTGCTTTAGAACAACTTTGTAACAGTCTCAAATCGATAAATTTAGATTTCCATGAAATATCTCAAAAATGCCATATTTAAAAATCAACATTTTTAAATACTTAAATAATAGGAGGAACCCTTGCGGTAAATCTAAGTTACCCCTTGTCGAGCTCCGCCTTCTACCCCTCCCTAAAAGAAGTTTAACAATGATCAATGGATTTTCGACCGCCCTTATTAATTGCAACAACATTCTAATACGTGCATTGTAACAAAGTAACGTTTAATTCGCAAGAATAAAATCTTATGGCACCATTAACTTAGTTTAAAAAGAATAATAAAAACATGCGACATTGTGTGAGGGTTTTATTGATAGATATTTGGCTTCCTCGAACACGATGATAACGTTTAATGAACAAATGTAGGGGATCAATAAAAGTTCACAAAGTCTGCAAAAATAAAAATTTTATTAGTCATTCTCTCTATACGTGCATATCAGTGGAAAATTTCGTTACTCATGTATACTATAGAATCATTAATATAAATCATCTAAAATTTGAATATGAGTAAGATTTCGTTTAATTTATTGTACGATTGTTACGGTTTGAAAGGAATAAACGTTTATTTAAAATACTTAAATCGCCGAAGAAAAAAAATATATTTGGTCATTTGTTTGCTCCTTTACCCACTTTCGGCACTTTTTGGCGGGAAGCTGTTGTTATTAGGCTTTGGCTAATTTTGAAGTGTCTCTGGTAAAATAGCCCTACATTCTTGCACAATCCTTTGTTGAAGTTGTTCAATTGAGTCCGTTTGGGTTTTGAATACAATGGATTTCAAATGACCCCATAGAAAGAAATCTAGCGGTGTCAGATCTGGTGACCTAGGTGGCCATTCAATAGGTCCCCTCCTACCAATCCATTGCCCCGGATAATGATTATTCAACCACTCTTTTACTGGACGTACATAATGAGAAGGTGCTCTGTCCTGCTGAAAGTGTAGCAAATGTTCATCGAAAACAAGATTTCCATCGACGTCTCTTTGATTTTCCTCCTCATGAATTATACGAGGCTCAATTCTTCTGTCTAACATTTCCGCATACATTTCACCATTTAAATTTCCATCTATGAACAAAGGACCAATGATATATCATACTATAGTATCGCCTAATATGCCCGCCCAAACATTTATTTTTTGAGGATATTGTGTATGCCCCTCTCTATTAATGTGAGAATTGAAGTCGCTCCAATAACGGCAGTTTTGTTTGTTAGTAGAAGTAGAAGGTGCACTCATCACTAAAACAGATATTTTTTATAAACTGGGGCTGAGCAATAATCCTGTTAGTCATAATTTCGCAAAACTCAATACGTCTGTCCGGGTCATCATACCCTAATTCTTGAGTAATTTGTAGCTTGTATGGGTGAAATTTGTGAAGCTTCAATACTTTTCTGACTGATTCACGCTACAGTCCAGTTTGTTCTGCAGCTTGACGAAGCGACATAGTAGGAGCCATAGCAATTTGGCCAAGATCTTCAATCTGAGCGATCTCATTGACCAATCTTGGCTCATTCCTCTTCTTATTGCAAACAGATCAAGTTTCTTCAAATAAAGCTACTAAATCTCGGATGTACTTGTGTCTAACCATTTTAAGAAAAGGATATAAAATACACCCAACTACTATAGCTTATTTTTACTAATCGATTCGGCAAATCAAATTAATAAATTTACACCGGGCGTACGTCACCCTGTATATGCATGAATTCATTAATTAATCTAAACTTTCTTAAAATGTCCCTACCCCTTCTTAATAAAGCAGAAACGGAAAAAGATGATAAATTACGGAGAAAAAATTAACAGTTGTCTTATCTTCTTGAAAAAGAAATTAATTATGTTGTATTAAAATCCCTTCATTAATTATGTTCTTATAATTAATTATTTCTTAAGAATACTTCATCTTCAGACAGCGAATTAGTAATAATTTGCATTCAACTGAACGCTAAGTCTAAATTTAACCAAATTAATGGAAATATGTTAAAAAGTTATTCTTTAGAATTTCACTAGGTATATTTCTCATTATTTATCTTTATTATTATTGAAAACAGATCGCGTTAGAAAATATTGACTCAAAGTACTCAAAGTACTCTACCAAAGCGTATAAAGATTTCCCATTTAAAATACTAATACTAAATATCTATATCTCAACCGCATTTTATGCTATTAAATTGTTTCAAAAACGGATTTACTCGTAATCAAAACTTCTACAAGAATGCTTTATGTGCCATAGCTGTAATCTGCACCTGTAGGATGGTACGGGTCACTAAATCTTATTTTAGTGAAAAATTTTCATATTTTTAAAGATATTTCAAAAGTGACTGGATTCTTTGAAAAAAAGACAAACTTGTAGAAAATTTTCTTTAAAAAAGGTCTTATAAGTTCGCTAAGATTGATATTTGTTGAGATATAAAGCGTTTACATTGACATTTTATGAAATTTCAGGATTTTCGTACCAAACTTTTTATAAATGATGATTTTCAATTGTTTATTAGTACAATTTCATGTAATTACGTTTTTTCTACAGTCGGGTGATTAGAGAAAAATAAATAACTAAAACAATCAAGCATAATTATTAATAAATTAACATGTTGTATGTAATACACCTCGTTATATCAATTTTTAGGTTAGATATATCTTTTCCCTTTAAAGTTATGTTATTAATAATTATGGATGATTGTTTGAGTTATTTATTTTCCTCTTATCACCCGACTGAAGAAAAAACGTAATTAGATGAAATTGTACTGATAAACAATCGAAAATCATCATTTATAAAAAGTTTGGTACGAAAATCTTAAAAATTTTATAAATTGTCAACAAATATCAATCTTAGCGATTCAACTGGTAAGACCTTTTTTAAAGAAAATTAAATTGTCTACAAATTTGTCCTTTACATTTTTTCAAAGAATCCAGTCACTTTTGAAATATCTTCAAAAATATGAGAATTTTTCACTAAAATAAGATTTAGTGACCCCTATCATCCTACAGGTGCAGATTACAGCTATGGCACATAAAGCATTTTTGTAGAATGATTACGAGTAAATCCCTTTTTGAAACAACCCAATAGCATAAAATGCGGCTAAGATATAGATATTAAAAAAAATATTCAAAGTTTAAGTGTATTTTAAATGGGAAATTTTCAACAAGATTTTTAGTTGGGAGCGAAAAAATAAAAATAGTCGTGAAAAAAAGCACCCTAATATATATAAATATATATATACGAGGTGTGTTCAGAAAATATCGGTAATTTTCGTTTTTTGAAACAAATATTTTTTTATTCGTCTACATTAATGTTGTCGCCTTCAAAATAGTTCCCATTGGATATTATGCACATGTGCCAGCTCTTCTTCCAATACTCGATCTTTGGGATAGCCTTTAGTTCTTTCAGCGATGCGCTTTTAATGTCATCTATGCTTGCAAAACGACGGCCCTTTAAGGTTTTCTCTATTTTTGGGAATAGGAAAAAGTCAGACAGAGGCATGTCTGGCGAATATGGAGGCCGGGGCATCATTACAGTATTGTTTTTGGCCAAAAATTGTGTTCAAAATTTAACATTTTAGAACAAGTTTTGCTGCCACGCGTTTCATACCCAAAACATTCGAAAAAATTTCATGGAATGAGCCAATCGATTTACCAACATCATCAGCGACTTCTCTGATGGTTTATAACCATTTCTTCCAATTTTTCCATGTTTTTATCGGTTGTTAATCGCTTGGGCGTTCGGGGCGTTCGTCATCTTTAACGTCTTCACGGCCATCTTGGAAACTCTTATACCACTTGTAAACTCTTGTTTTACTTATAGCAGACTCACTATAGGCCTTTGTTAACATTTCACAGAATTTATTTTATTTTTTAAGCAAAATTGGATACAAATTCTTTGATCCATTTCTTTCGAACGAACGAAAATCGCCGAGCTCATAAAACACGTCTAACCTTAGCGGCTGCCACAAACAAAGTAAACAATGAAAACATATAAAATTTGTATCATTCTTTAGGGGTATGTATACCAACATAATAAAGACAATTTTATGACAACCGGACTCCAAACCCGCGAAATTTAAAAATTCCCGTTATTTTCTGAACACACCTCGTATATATATATATATATATATTCACTGTTAAAAACTGCTTAATTTTTAAGGGATACATTTCGATTTGCACATAAAATTTGACATTTGACATTTTTACACTTTCCCAAGTTGGTTACTCTATTGTTTTATAGATGTAGCTCTATGCAAATATTTAATTTAAATCATTTTTAGATAATAATAAGTATTTGTCGTAGAAAGAGTATAGTATGGAACTCGTTTATAAACTTTTCTATATAAAAATGAAAAACTCTATTAAAAACTGATTTGGTTTCAGGTGTGGTTCCAGAATCGCCGAACAAAATGGAGAAAAAAGCACGCGGCCGAAATGGCGACAGCAAAGCGGAAACAGGAAGTGCTGGACAATCAAACTGATGAAAACAGCGACATAATATCCGACAATGAGGACGAGCATGTCGCAAAACGGCAGAATCTCCAATGAGATGTTTCGCGTTTTTGTAATATATAAAATAATTCGGGACAGAGGATTTGTAAATACGTATAAATTTTAGTGATCTCAGTGTTTGGTGAACTTTTCGCGCGTGGACGTCGTGAGCACATCTGTATAAATATTATAAATATTTTATTGTATATGTATACGTATATAGTACACCAAGATGTATACAGTTTTCTTAAAGCTTAAACGTACTAAATAAGAAACTTAAAAATATAGATTACGTACTGGAATAACTATATTGCTATTGTGCTTTTAAATATGGTTAGATATAGCTGTATAGATATATTTTTAAAACAGGAAAACTGTACACATTTTCAATTTTTCGGATAGTACAAGTGCTTGTTTAAGTTTTTCTTGATAATATTCTCCATTACCGCGTTAAAATTATTTTTGTTTGGTATATAAACAATAGACAGGGTGATAAAGGGTTAATTTAATGGACAATATTATCCAAGTATTTATTTTTTATTTATTACTATTAAGTTGTATAAGTGCTGCTCAAAAAAAAATTGGGCAAAATTAGATTTTTGTGTAAAGAAAAATAACGTGCAATCTTATATTATAGTCCTTGGCATTTTGCAGCTAACTTATGTATAAAAAAATCACATTGTATTTGTAACATTTAAATAAATATGTTCCAGAGATTTCAAAAAACAGCTTGTTTTTATTTTTTTCTCATACTCCAGAATTACATTGTTTTTACATTATTAAGGTAAGTATATATTTTTTGCTAAATTAAATTATAAAATCAATGGTTTAAACTTGTTATGTGTACATATGTAAATCCGAGTTTTTCCTCAAAGATACGCCAGCTTGATTTATCTAAAATGTTGAATAAGGGTGGAGAACAGAATCATGGCCAGGCGCCAGGATGTTTCCTTGACAACGACGCCATTTCTTACGACGCTAGCTGACGTCCCGGCGTCCATTATGAACATGTTTCTTTCTATTCTATCCCATCCTTAGTTCTTAATACCGAAAACTCAACATCATATTGCCCCTATTTTTTTTCTACAACATTTACCTCTTTTCACATCATTTGTTTTAGATAAAATAGCATTTTAAATTTACTAGAAAAATAACAAACTATTTTGCTTTTATTTTTTACTATTTACTTAATTGAGTTCATCAAATTATAAAGTATTAAAATTTCAACGCACTTATAATTTATTATATTACGTATCATACAAATTTTAATGTCGAAAAAATGGTTTTTGATTTAATTGAGCAAAATGACGGTTATTTTTGGAATGGAATTACCCTAAAAGAGTTGTTTGTCGACATGTGGCAGAATTTCTGTCGACCAGTGTTATTTAATTTATGTGATAGTCGTAGAAAAAGTATATTATGCAATTCGTTTTATAAACCTCTGAACCATCGTGGAATTAACAATAAACAATTTTAAAATTTTTTACTTTTTTGTTGGTCAGTCAAGGGCGGCAAATGCAACTTTTAACCTTTAACAGTTAAAATTAAACATTTAACCTTTGACCTTTGACTGGCCTTTTGACCTTTGACCTGCTGAATCAATTTTGATGAAATTTGGTTAAATTTTTTATTTTTTTTTAATTTGTTTTTTATGTTTTTTTTCCAGAAGGCGATGTATACACTAAAAAGTGAGGCGGTGGTTGCGGTGAGGTCTACTTTTTTACTTTTTGACCTTTGATCTTTTACTGACCCTTTATTATATATAATATATCTATAGATAGCTAATGTAAAGTACTAGTTTCACGGGGGTTACAGCTGGTGTTTTGTGAAGTTTAAACAAAACCTTTAAGCAAATCAAGTTTTTTGTTTACTTAACATCAGTGGTGGTTTTTCGATACACTGTTAAAAATTTCTATTGTAATTTTACTAAACATGGTTAGGAAGTTTTTACGCACCACAATATAGTAATAATAAAACACAGTTTTGAAAATTCACTAACTCAATTTGGGAAAATTACAAAACGTTTGTAGAAATTTACTAAGCATTTATTAAATATTTGTTCAGTAACATTACTATACAGCCTGTATAATACAGGCAGGGCCGGATTAAGAGTTTTGAGGCCCTGGGGCCGACATTTGGTGGGTGCCCTTAATATTTCTAAAAAAATTGACACTTTAAAACTCATGGTAAATTTTTAAGCTAGAGGAACTTTACGTGATTTTTTATTATCCTTGAATCATTTATTATTTAATAAACAATATAAATATTTAATAAAATCGGCCAAAGCGTTTTTAAGCTATAAATAAAAAACTAATTTTTTTAAACGAAAAACCCTGTATTTCGATAATGAAGCATTTTCGGACACGTGTTTATAGGAACTTTTTTTCATATTTTGATGAGAGGAATTTCCCCTGAGCTTTTGTCACCACAAGTCTGAATCACCCTGTATATTTTTAATAATACGAACATAATCATATACATTTTACCCAAGTCTAAGAAATTATTAATTCGTATGCAAAACTATAAAAACGTAGATAGTAGAATAGAATTGTGAACTTTACCTTATATTTTATATATTTTGAATAATACGAACATAACCTTATATATATTTTACTCAAGTAAAATATAAATTGATCTATGTTTTGTTTGTATTTTTAATACTTACCGCAAACTGAAAAAAGTGCATCAAAAGTCGTATTATTTGTCTGTTTTTCATACAAAATCATCAATAATAAAACAATGTTTTGTCCAAAGAAAAGCACGAAACATTATTTCGGAAACACCGGAAAATATTCCACAACACTCCAATGTACCAATAAAAATCTGGGACAAAAACTAACTTTAATATTAGATTATAAGTAATTGACTGTTTGCCTGTATTTACAAAAACGTTACGAAAAGCACTAAAGGAGCAATTGTTTTGAGTCATAACTTATGACTATAGACTACATAAAAACTTCTTCGAGTGCCAAAACTTTGAGTGTGATAGTTTACATCCTGATTTGCAAACGGATAAGCGATAAAAAATCCGCGAAAAATTAGAGTTAGATCTACGAAAAATTAATTGAAAATTACAGAATTCGCGCGGTATAACCGACCCAATTTTTTGTTTTTCGACAATTTTTTTCATATTTGTTTCATTAAAAAGCTACATATTGCATTGGTGGGGGCCCCTAAATGGTGGGGGCCCTGGGGCCGTGGCCCCGTCCTAAATCCGGCCCTGAATACAGGTATTGTAATTTTGCTAAAAAAATACTAAATATGTTTAGTAATATTAAAATGGTGTATTGTAATTACATTATATTATATAATTCATTTCAACTCAGTTTAAGAACATTACAAAATATATTTTACAATTTTACTGAACTGAAGAAAATTCGTTTCGCAATATTACAATACAAATATTGTTATTGTATAACAAATTACACTAAAAATATTTAGGAATTTACAAATAATGGTATTGTAATCATAATACGACAAAAAAAACCTGCAATTTTCTCAGTTTCTTCAAGAAACTTTCTTGACCCATTACTGTAAAGATTAAAAAAAATTGAACCATCACCTCGCCAGAGATTTTGGTTTTAAGTGCGTTCCACCAACTTTAAATACCGACAGACAGCTAGACAGATGGACCTATTTTGGGTCTTATCAATGTCGTGCAATTTGGTGTATTGGAACACATCAAAAACGAAAGAAACCTGAGCTTATATACTGTCCACCTAAGTCAACCAAGGCGAGATGTAAGAACATCACGTGATTGCCGCAATCGGTACATACTATGCATTTTACATAACATTATAGCAAATCAAATTACAAATAACGTTTGTAAATCTGAGATGATTTTTATTAGAAACTGTCAAACTGTTTAGTAAAATTACAATGCGTGTAGGATTTAAATATATAAATTGTAAAATTACAACTTATCTTAGTACATTTCCCAACATGTCTTTGAAGATTACTCAAATTGTATTATAATTTTGTATTGGTATACACTGATTTGTAATTTTACTTATCCTGTAATTTCACAAAAAATTTTAACAGTGTACATGATTAAAATGATATAGGTACCTATAGTAAAAATGCAAACAGAAGTTGTATAAAATAAATATCGATTTGTAATTGAAATAGCAAATTTTGGTTAGTAATTTTATTGATTATCTTAGTAACATTAAATTCCGAATATGTATAGAAATTTTACAAAATTTCAAATTCAATTCTTTAATACAGAATTGTAAAATTACTATAAGTATCTGACAAAAACAAAAACATTGTAAAATTGGAACCTGTTTAGTAATTTTGCTATAACAAAATTTAATATTACAACAAATGCGCATTAAAATTGTAATACAATACAACATTTTGTAATTTTACCATGCAACTGCTTAGTAAAAATGTAGTAATTTTACAAACATTTTTAACAGTGTAGTAACACATGAGCACGTGCACCTCCATACAGAATTCAAAAGTAATAATAAAATGATCACGAGCCGCCACTGCTTAACCTGCGTATTAATTCGCACAAAGTGTTTAGATTTCTTGATGCTTACACGATTAAGATTTATTTAAAATTATACCATAACATTTGAATTTAGTTTGTTAGAAAAACGCCAAGTAATTAGGTACATAGTCAGTTTTTTTAAGAAAATGTATAAGTAGTAAACATATAATTTACCAAAAAGCTTTAACTCACCTAAATGGTAGGTATTTAGTAAAACCAGGATAAATTCTTGACCTTCAATTTTGTTATGTGGCAGTTCCATCGTCGACCAATCAAAGCTGAGAAAAACACCCTTCTTGTTTAGCATGTGGGACTTTAAAATTAAAGGGGTAAATGAAATGAAATCTCCATACTGTTGGATATGCCTTACCAAACGAATAATTTAATTATAATGCATGATTTATTTACTTTATTACGTTAAAATATCGTTGAATGTCAATAAAAAAAATAAGAAAACTACTCAAATAAACTTTTTCACTATACACTATAAACAAATTCCCATAGTTTCAAATGTCATTAAATAAAAATTACCTGTTTTTAAAATAATTGGCTTAGGTATATCATTGTGTAGTGATTTTTAACATTGATTTCTTCAACAAAATCCAAAAACAATTACCTACATAAGGCATAAATAAAAGAACATATTTACCATATGAGTATGAGTATGAGTATAAGAGACGTATAACCAGCCCCATTTCCTCTTGACTCTCGAACCCCGTACAGGCCTATGTTTACTTGCGCCGATTTTTGTTCTTCCCCAGCAACTGCACGGCTTCACCCGTGTTTGCTGGGTGCGAATGTCCATTGCGTTTCGAACTGTCCCCTATTTGGGGCTCGAGAGCGAGAGGCGAATAGTTATAATAGCCTTTCCCGGGTTCGCCGAGCCTATGCTATACGCTCGGTGGGGTGTGGATGAGGGACGGGAGGGAGTTGGTTTTTGGGGGACAATTACGCCGACTTAAAACTAAGTACGACGCGGAATCCCCCTAGACCAGTCGATTAGTTTTACTCCAAACATTTGGGATTACTATTTGGAGTTGGGGAGTTGTTATTTCGCTGCAGGGGTGTAGTCGAGG